GCCGCACACGCCTCCTGCCGTGGACAGGACAGGTGGGTGCGGTGCGCCTGGCCAGGCCGCAGACCAGGCCACCTGCCCCCACCCCTGCCCCTCTGGGCCTGACGAGCACCAGGGCAGCAGGCTGCCGGCCCGGCCAAGCCCCCCTCCTCAAACGGGGCCGGCTGCAGGGTGCGACTGCACACAGCAGACCGCGAGCAGGCCGAGCGTGTCCGTGAAACCCTGTCACACCGTGTGTGGGCCGGAATGGCATCTTCACCGGGAGGCCCAGCTGCCCTGGCCACAGGGCTGCCCGGGCAGGCCGGAGGGTCCCGCACATCCCTACAGCCCTCTGGGGCCCTTCCCCAGGCCCCATTCCCCGGGGACACATGGAGAGGGTGCAGGCGCTTGGGCAGCCCAGAGGCGCGTGGCGCTCGTGAGCTCCCGCAGCTGTCCAGGGGGCCCAGCGGGCTCATGACTGAGGCTTCCAATTGGCGACGCCCTTCCCAAACTGTGCCTGCTGCCCAGAGAGCAGGTGGCCTGCAGGGGCGGGGGGCAGAGGCAGAGGGCCAACTATCTCAGGGACGCGGGTGGCTCCTGGTCCCCCATGACAGCAAGCTCGGTGACCAGTGTCCTGCAGGCCCCACGGCAGTCCAGCTGTGTTCAACACGTGCTGACCGGGGACCCTGCACATTTAGAAGGGTGAGCGGGTCTAGAAACCAGCGGACGGGAGGACGTGGCTGTGAACATGGGCGAGAGGCACAGACGTGCCGACTGGTGAGCGTGGCAGGTCACGACCCAGGGCGGGCGGGGGTGCAGCGAGGCGGGGGGGCCCTGAAGAGAATGCGGGGTCTCGGCACTGGCCGCCAGGTGGCTCTGAGCCAGCACAGGTGCAGACAGAGGGTGGGGCGGGCCGCGGACGGCTCTCCCACCTGCGACTCGGCGTTCAGGGTGATGAGGTCCTCGTCGTGGTCCAGCAGCTTGCAGGCGTACGCGATGTTCACGGCCGTTTCCTGCTTGTCGCCGGTGAGGACCCAGATCTGCAGGCCGGCCTGCCGCAGCTTGGTGATGGTTTCGGGGACCCCGTCCTGCAAGCGGTCTTCGATCCCGGTGGCACCTGGTCAGAGGCACAGCAGCGCGGGTGAGCCCTCGTCCCCGACCACGGGGCCGGGAGCCTCATGCGGCGGGCAGCTCTCCCGCCTGGACGCAGTCGAGGGCGGGCAGAAACCAGGTGGCCCTGACCGGAACCCTCCGCACCCACGGCACAGCCGGCCACCCTCGCTGACCCGCAGCAGAAACATGGAACCAGGGCTTCTGGGGGGATGGCAGGTGCCCACAGTCCGGGTGTAGAAACGCGACCACCAGCCACCCCGTCAAGCTGCCGTGACGACAGCCACACCTTAGCCGCCCCCGCTGACGCACGGGCCTGCTGCTCCTCAGCACAACGCTTTCCCGAACACACCGCCTCCGCCGCATGCTGAGTGGGGCAGGTTCTCCCATGAGAGCCTCGGGGTGCTGGGGGGACCTGCCGCTCGGTGCGGACGTGGGCTCTGCCTTCCTCCGGAAGGGCAGCCCTGCCTCTCTAGCCTGAGCGCTGTCCCCTGTCCCTGGACGCTGCTGCGGACTGCGTGCTCGTCCCTGCCCACCAGCTCGACAGCCCGACGCCCCAATCCCAGTGCGAGCGGTGGGGCCCTCGGGAGGCGATGAGCTCACGGGGTGGACCACTGGGCACACAGACATGGGGCCCCGGAGCGGTGACCGTGTCCACCACGTGAGGACGCGGAGGAGGGCGCCACGCGCAGGCTGGGAAGGGGGCCCTCGGCCAAAGGCCAGCGCCCTGACGCCTGGGTCAGCAGCAGCCCCAACTCCAAGACGCCGTGCCCTTCCTCCTCCTAGGTGGAGACGGCGGGGGTGGGGGGTGAGGCCAGGGTGCCACACGCGGACCACACGTGCACATGATGTCAGTACAACCGCCGAGGTGCTTCTGGAACTCACACCTGTGCAACCAGCCCCCGGGCTCAGGAAGCGGCATCACCAGCTCCCCAAAAGCCCACCGGGAGGGGCTGTCCGTGCTCTCCACCCCGTGCCGCCTTCCGCTCAGGGGCCCCCAGAGGCCACATGGGAGCCCGGGAAGGATGAGGGGACACTGCACCTGCTGCCCCCTGCTCTGAGCCACGCATCCCACGGGAAGGACCAGGCGGGGCGTGGGCTCGAGGTCTGCCGGGGAAGGAACCGCAGTGGGCTCCGCCCCGTGAGCACGTCCCAGACCATCCCGGCAGGGAGGCCAGCTGCTCTTGGCCCGTCCCCTCTCCTGCCACCCTGAAGTGTCACTCGACTGTGATTGCTCCCTCACGTCTGGGGAGAGACGTGTGCTCACTCAGCCTCCTTCACACTTAACGTGATGCTCACCGGAGGAGCACGACCTTGACGGGCTGCTACGTGCCCGGCAAGAACGTTCTCAGCATCCCCCAGATGCGAGCGCTGCAGGGGTCCCCAGCGCAGGGGGCTTTCAGTGGGGGGACGTTCCCCATGAGGACTTTCAGATGACAGGGGGGAAGCTGGGGACAGCGAGAACGTCCTTGGAACGTGGGGGCCTGGCCGGACCATTACAGGAAAGCAAACTTCAAGAACAGAGCGCGGATGGCGCTCCTTCCGCCGTGGGCGTCGGAAGCTGTTCGACAAGAACGTCAACGAAAAGCCGTCAAGACGGGCATTCAGCTCGGCGACGTTAAAACGTAAACGCTTCTTTTGCCTCTGGCAGAAATGGCTCTCAGGAGCTGGAGCCCCGCGCCGTGGACAGGTGGGGACACAGGTGGTGGCCCTCCTGTCCCAGCCCGGCCTCGCCACCGGAACCGCGACGGTCTCAGGCAGCTGGGGCGGGACGTGCGACGACCCACGTGCCGGGGGGGGAGGCGAACGTGCCGCCCTCGCCCACTTCTGTGGTGTGACCGCCCCACGGCCTCTGGCTTCGAGCTGCCACGTGGCATCAGGAGCCTGTCGAAGCTCCTGGAGATCCACACGGGCACGTGCGGGCCACAGCACCGGCCGGTGCCCCTCACTCCAGCGGGTCCTGGCCCGCCCATCCCAGAGCCGCCGAGCGCGCTCAGGGGCAGCACCTGGCTGGGATGGCGGCGGAACGAGGCTGAATCGAAGCCGAGAGACGTAAGCGACGGGACGCTGAGCTGACCCCACAGAAAGCGCCGGATCGGGGCACTGACACGGCTGCCCAGGCAGGAGGCGGTCCTCGCGGAGAAGACCCGGGACGGGGAGCGGATGTGAAGCCAGGCTGAGCCCCGGTGGACGAGGGCTGTCAGGCGCTTGGGACACGCTAACGCACAGCACGGGCCGAGGCAGGTGACGGGGGCCTGACCACTGGACTCTGTGGAGGCCAGACAGGCGGGGACAGGCGTGGGGCAGGGACATGCAACGCACGTCCACGCTGCTGCTGGGCGCCGGGCCCTGTGTCTGCCGGTCGCTCAGCACTCGCTGCACCCCCTTCAGCCCCACTGTCGCCCCCCCGCCCCGCAAGCAGGTGAGGAAGCCCAGCTCCCCCGGCCAGCGATTGGCGGAGCCAGGACCGCACGGCGGCCGGGGAAGGCGGGCGTGTCTGAGAAGGGCAGGCGGATGCGGGACAGCGGGGGACGCACACAGCCCGTGCTCATCCCAGGTACCGGGGACCGGTTCTGTCTGCACTGCTGGGCATGGCGGCCCCGTGCCCGCTGGGAGAGGCACCAGGAGGCCTCTCCCCACCGCAGAAGCACAGCCGACCAGGGCCGGAGCGCCCCCAGGGGAGGGCCAGGAAGGCCGGGAGGGGGCCCTGAGCCCCCTCCCTCCCCGGGCCTAACCGCAGCCTCTTGGAGGGGCAGCCCTCACTCTAAACCGCAGCCGGGCCTTAGAGGAGACCCCGCGTCCTGTCTCATTCACCCCGGGGACACTGAGTGAAGACGGCCTTCCTATTTGACGGGAAAGACAAACTTCCACTTCTCTGTGCCCAGGAGGGCCATCCATCCGCCACTAGCTCCACAGCACGGTCACGACTGGCCCCTGGGTGGGCACGCGAGAGCATGCACACAGAGACCCATCCAATTTACTAATGCTTCAAAAATATTAACTCAACGAGCTATTTAAAGTATTAAATGTTAAAATAGTGAAGTAATAAATAAACACTGCTACCAACACAGTAGCAAATATAGGCACATCTTAACGAAAACGACCCCATTTCCATCCATCCAAATTAAACCTCAGAAACGTTCCTAAGATGTAACACGGCAGTTTCTGGGGCCCAACGCGCCTCCTCTCTGCTTCCTGGGTGGGGAGGGGTCGGTTGCTGGGCTGCCTGGCTTCTCATCTGTTTCTGGTGGGAAAGCGGGGGTTTAAGGAGTGACCAGGTGGCCGTGCAGGGGACACGAGGGACCCCGTCCAGCGGGCCCTGGAGAGACCGCACGGTGCCGGGCAGTGCCACCAGGGGGCCGCCCTAGTCCCCTAGTCTCAGGCCTGTGGTTCCCTAACCAAGCGGAGCGTGATCAGAGCTGCCACCAGCTAGAGTCGGGTCCCCTCCCAGTCTGCCAACTTGACACCGGTCCACGCGACACGTGCGCGGGCGACTTACCGAGCAGATGCAGGTTCGTCTCCAGGCGGGTGGCCGACTCAAAGAGCAGCTCCTCGCGGTTGTCCACGGCTGACTCCGCCTCCAGGTGGCTTTGCAGCCAGCAGGCGTACTCCTCGGGACTCAGGACCTGCGCGGACACGCGGGTGAGCGCGGTGCGGGGCTCGGAGACGTGCGCGCCCCCGCAGCCCGCGCTCACCCTCTTGGCGATGCAGAGCGTGCGCAGGCCTTCCACGGCGTACAGGTTCAGGTGCTGCTGCGTCCTGCTGCGCATGTGCTGCTGGTGCCGGCCTCTGGCATCGTCTGCGGAGCGGGGCGGGAACAGGGTGAGGGAGACCCGAGCGGGGCGCCGCGGGCCGGACCGGGACCAGACCGAGACCAGACCGGGACCTCGCGGCCCTGCGCCTGGCTGCAGAGATCACCTGCGCCCGGTCAGCTCGCCATGGGAACAGCAGCTTGAAGGTCACAAAGTGGTGACACTCAGAGGCGGATAGCAGGGCGGGGAGGGGGGAGGGCGTTCGCCCGGCTCTCGGTCCAGTTCGGGACCTGGCGACGGGCGGCCGGCGCGCTGCACAGGGTGCCACTTACGTGGTGTATCTTTCAACCACAGTGTTTTAGAAAGCGAAGAAGTCAGCCCTTAGCTAGTACGTTCTCCCCGCCCCTGGCCGCTGCCTTCCGTGACTGAAGGCCAGGGCGACGGGCGCTTTTACGAGGCGGCGCACGTGCTGACCGAGGCTGCGGCAGCCGCGGCACCGCGACACA